GAATCCAGTCTGGAGGTCTGATATCTCAGGGCTCTGCCTCACGTTCTGCTACATCATTCTACATCAGGACGTCCATGGACAAACCTAAAAAGCTAAATATAAAAGTATTTATCAGAAGTAATATTTAGCCTGTTTGCAATCTTAGTGGATGCAGAACTTAAGCCTGCTCCAAATGTTTATAACAAATAAAATGCTTCTCAAAGTGCAACCTGAGGGATACAAGAATGTATGAGGCCAATGTTTTTGCATTGCATCCATAAGTTACATCTTGAGGGAAAGTACAGGAGTGAAGGAAATCTTGAATGGTAAGCCACGTGAAAGCTAAAGTAGCATTTCCTTTAATGCCAAAGTTTTTGACCTAATGACTACACAAAGGCCTAACTGCCAGAAAACTGAGAGTCAAAGGGATCTATGATACACAATTTCATTTTGCCAGCATTTATCTCCTGAAACTTTAAAGACAGAATAAAGATTCACTTGACTATCTCCACAAATCTTCACAAACAAGTCGGATATCACAGTGCCGGTTCCCCTTTGATCAATTTCATTAATTTATGGATTTTTATCTTCCGGAGCTGACTTTGCTTTTGATGTTGTTATTTGCAGGCGTACAGCATGCAGGTCTGCAGGTCAAAGGTAAACCGAGGCCAGGCTTCCCCTCAGTTAATGTGTGCCATCAGCACACGTGCTCTACTCTGTCCCCATTAGACTGCAAATTGATTATCTGGAGGGAGTTTAAAAGACATAATTTAAACAATGATTTACTTAGCTGATAACTTAGCACTTCCCACAGGTACACGAGAGCAACTGCTATTTGATAGTCTTCGCAGGAAGAACAGGTCAGGAGTTTGCTGTCACAACCTCTGACAAAAAAACAGTTGCAACATCAAGATGCCTAATTCCAGTTTTCAGAAGTAACTCAGAAAAATACTTCTGATACCTACATGTTTGTTTTTACTGCTGAGTGGGAATAACACACTCAGAATATGACCTCTGTAATGACATAAAGTCAGTGAAAGCAGGGAGTATCTCACTGATTTCCCAACACTGGACAGAATGTGTTGTACGTGATCTTGTGCACACTTTTGTCAAAAAGCAGAAATCTAAGAGGTTTTTAAGCAGCTGGTTCGTTTGAACTAGAAAAACAACTTACTACAGCAGGAAGACGGTGTAAGGCACATAGAAGTATACAGAATGTCTACTTCTTACACGTGGCTGTACAAAAGGTGGAACCTGTAAAAGAAAACCCATAAAATCCAATTCAATAAAAC